CTGAGAGCCCAGAAATCTCCACCAAAAAACTACTAGATTTAATAAATGAATTTGGCAATGTAAAAGGATAGAAAATTAATACTTAGGAATCTATTGGCATTTTTATACACCAATAATGAACTCTCAGAAAGAGAATCTAAAAAAGCAATCCCATTTACCATTGAAACAAAAGAATTAAGATACTTAGAAATAGACACAGAACCTAGAGACAGAACCTAGAGAGAGAACATGGCAAAAGAACCTAGAGACAGAACCTGGCTACAGAACCTGGATGGAACATGGTAAGAGAACCTGACTAGAACCTGGTGACTGAACCTGGCTGGAGAACCTAGCGAGGGAACATGGCTACAGAACCTGGCTGGAGAACCTGGAGAACCTGGCTGGAGAACCTAGCAAGAGAACATGGACACAGAACCTGGCTGGAGATCCTAACCAGAACTTCACTGGAGATCCTGACCAGATCTTGGCTAGAGATCCTGGCTAGGCTGCTGATCAACTGAACGCTGTCACCGTGTCATTCCTTCTTCGCCAACTCTGTCCACACCTTTGGGGACCCCTGGACCTGCTGGGGTTGGACCCCAGCAGTTGGTGACATACATTCATGCTTTGTATCAATCAGTAACTACTTCATTTCTGTTTATGCATTAATTTGTTGATCCACTTTTCTTGGATGGGCATTGGTTTATTAATTTAAAAGGGATTGTGAATAAGATGTCATATATATTCTTGCGCAAGTCATTTTGTGAACATATGCATTTATTTCTCTTGGTTAAATATGTATAGAATTACTGGGTCATATTGGAGCTTTATATTTAAATTAATAAAGAACTGCCAACTTCTTTCCAAAGTAAAAAAAAAAAAAAGAGAGAGAGAGAGAGAGGAAGGGGGAGAGAGAGAGAGAGAGAGAGAAACAACAATGATGAGAGATAACAATTGATCAGCTGCCTCCGGCACTCCCACTACTGGGGATGGGGCCTGGAACCTGGGCATGTGCCCTGACTGGGAATCAAACTGTGACCTCCTGGTTAGGTCGAAGCTCAACCACTGAACCACACCAGCTGGGCTCATTATTCTTATTTTTAAAGTAAGTCTATCCATTATAAAAACAAATGTCAAAAAAAGAAGAAAATAACAATTACCCATATTACTATGTCTCAAGAGAGAACCTCTATTAATAGTTTGCTCTACTTCCTTCTAGCCACTCCATATGCAGTATCTTATATGAAATTTTAAATACTGCCTTTAATACTTAATGTATGTCACACGTATTTTATTATGACATTATATAATCTTTCTAACATATTTTAAATTCATGCAACTCTGTAGCATAATTTTTCACAGTTCTGTTGTTGATAAACATTACATTTTTTTCTCATTTGTTTCCAATGATTGTAAATAACTACAAACAGATATGCAGTGCTTAATTTTTTTATATCGCATTTTAAATTATTTTTTAGGATAGTTTTTAAAAGGGAAATCATTGGTCCAAAGGTATGATCACCTTTTCAGGCTCTATCAAACCTGCATTGGCTTTCTAAAGCATCTGCCTGCTCATCCCTCACCTGCTGCTCTCTCTCACTAGATGACCTCACTTCCTGTTTCACAGAAAAATTCTGTGTCTGTAGAGCACAGAACCCCATAGCTTGGTCTACCAGCTCATTGGCCCAGGCACCACCTTCCCACCCTTCTCTCCACTCGGAAAGCCTGCTAGTCCCTCTCTACCCTCTTCAGCCATTAAGACCCATTCACGTTTCCTCCTTTCCTACCCCAGTGCTGTTTTCTCTCAGCATTTGCCCACTGGTCTCCTATTTTAAAAAAACCTTCTCTTGACCTTACTAGGTACCTCTACTCCCTAAGGCTCCTCCTTTTCACAGTCAGACTTGTAACTCCATTCTTCACATTTTAAAGCTATTGACTTCCCCATTAAGTTGCATTTCCAGACTCTTGGAAGTGGAGAGAAAGGTGGTGTGGGGATCCTTCTTCCCTCCTCAGTCCTAGGTTTGCCCTCAGAAGAGGAGGGAGGCTATGTTCAAGAGGCTTCCATTCCTGTTCTTCCTGTCCCTGTTCCCCCCACCCCAGGCCAGTCCTCCCCAGCAGCGGGCCCTAGGACAGGGGGTGGAAGAGGATAGGTACCAGCTTGCACATTGCCATTCCCTCTAAGAAGCCTTCTTCTCATTTTTGTATCACCATCAGCTTCCAGCACCTCAGTCTCAGTTCTGCATCTTCCCCCAGAACTCCCTCCCCAACCCCATGCTCCCAGGAGCCCACAGCCCCTCCCATCTTCTCCAGGCCCTACACACCTGGGCGTCCTGACAGCCTTCCTCCCACTGCTCAACAGGTGCGTCGTCAAGGGGACAAGTGCATGTGGCCTCTGACATTGGAATTTTGAATGTATTTTCCCACAGAAACATTTACCCCTCGTCCAAGCAGCTCTATGGCACAATTATTCAGGTAATTTTGGAGTTTTAATGACTGTATGCATAACACTGATTCCCAATAGCCATCGGTTGGTATAACAAACATTTGGACTACAAGTTGTTCATAAGTTACGGACAAACTAGGAGACGTTCAATGAACAACTGTTGAGTCACATAGAGATTATCCTTTGAGAACATTCTGCCAAGGATAATTCGTAGTGTCTAATGCATAATAAAAGCTCTGCAGTTTTGCCTTTGAAAGCCACCAGGTGGAACTGAGAGACCCACACTGAGCTAGAGCCAAGAAAGAGGTGGCGTCCGTCATAAACGGAGGCCAGAAAGCCTCTACCATCCGAGAAACAGGAAAGACAGTGACAAAGACTGTGTTCCATGTCACCTGCCCCCACTAACATACTTCACATTCTGCTAGTGGGACAGTCTTCACTAAAATGACCCTGTCACACTGGTTGGACTTCACCAAGGCAACTTTAACGTAGACTCTAACTTTCCTTTATCTGGAAGTTAGGAAAACGAGTAGACTGTTTCTAGTTGCAATTGGCAGTCACTCATCACTTCATGCATAATCCCCACAGTCTACTACTTTCAAGCTCTACTCAAACAGTGGCCAAACTTAACAGAGCAAGGCCTGATGCTTCTGGCTTCCCCCAAGGGTCTCTGGCAAAATTCAATAAAAAGATACTGCTATTAAGGCATTGAGGCCTACACTGAAGACAGCATCCCAGGCATATACCAATGAGGCGATGGTGGTTAGCAACGAGGTGGGCTGTGGGCTATGGGCTACAGGCTCAGTCAGGCCTCCAGCAGAGTGGGAGTTGGTTGCTCCAGGAGGGTGAGAAAGTTGTTGGAGCAGAGGAAAAGGCCTGCAAGGCTTCTTGAAGCTTACAGAGTCAGGAGCAAGGCCTGCTGGGTAGGGTGCCAAACTAGGGTGGTGAGTGAATAACAATGTGGGTGCATAATAGCCAGGTTAATGATAGTAACTTCTGTAGAGCACCTACTGCATGCAAGTGCTGCTCTAAGTACTTCACGTGTATCATTAATTAACTTAATCTTTACAACAACATTCTAGGTGCTTACTAAAAGTGCATTCTTTTTTTTCTTTTTTTAAGCTGAAGAAAGGGAGTCCTACAGAATTCAAATACAGTATCCAAGGTCAGGATCTAGGAGTTGGAAATAGAGGATCTGGGATTCAAATCAAGGTCCCTACACTCTAAATACCCTCCTATACTTTCTCTCCAATGTGTGAACCCGCAGAGCCCAGGAGAGGGACCTGCTCCTTCGCCACACACAGTCAGAGAGGTGACAGGGGTGGCATCCCACAGGATGCGGTGAATGGCAGTTATTTACCTAGTCGACCAATAGAGCAGGAGCCAAAAACGGACCCAAACTCTATAAAACTCACTCCTGGAAATCTTACTGTGTCAACAAGGAAGCGGCCTATGAAGTATAAATCATGTCCTGCATGTTGAAACAGAATTAAAGAGCTCCCATGCATTTCATCTGTATCTTCTTTTTTAAACATTTTGTGTGCTGCTTACTTTTTAAAAAACAGTTATTATCGAGGTTTAATTGACAAATAATAAACAGTGTGTATTTAAAGTGTACCATTTAGCCAGAACCGGTTTGGCTCAGTGGATAGAGCATCGGCCTGCGGACTCAAGGGTCCCAGGTTCGATTCCGGTCAAGGGCATGTACCTTGGTTGCGGGCACGTCCCCGGTGGGGGGCATGCAGGAGGCAGCTGATCAATGTTTCTCTCTCATCGATGTTTCTGGCTCTCTATCCCTCTCCCTTCCTCTCTGTAAAAAATCAATAAAATATATTTTAAAAAAATAATAAATAAAGTGTACGGGCACATCCCCAGTGGGAGATGTGCAGGAGGCAGCTGATCGATGTTTCTAACTCTCTATCTCTCTTCCTTCCTCTCTGTAAAAAATCAGTAAAAATATATTTTAAAAAAAATAAAGTGTACCATTTGCTCAATATATGCACATGTCCATGAAATAGTCAGTGGCTATTATTCACCCACATTGTTATTCACATTGGGTATGGCATCTAGGAAATCTTTGCCTAATCCAAGTTCGCAAGATTTTCTCCTATGTTGTCTTCTAGAAGTTTTATAATATTTGGTTTTACATTTAGGTTTATGATCTATTTTGAATTAATTTTGGGGTATGGTGTGGGGTATAGACTGAAGTTCACCTTTCTGTATACAGATATGCAATTGATCCAGCATTGTTTGTTGAAAATACCACCCTTCTCCACTGAATTACCTTTGCATTTTGTTGAAAAGCAATTGACTACATATATGGGTCTATTTTTGGACCCCCCCCTTATCATTTATTGATTGACTTCACTATTTTTATTACTAGAGGCCTGTTGCATGAAAAGATTTGTGCAAACAGGCCTTCCCTTCCCCTGGCTGCCAGCACCGGTTTTCCTCCAGCACTCGGCACCCAGGCCTTTGCTCCAGTCGGAGCCGCCTTCAGCCTTTGCCACTCCAGCTGGAGCTGCCTTCACTGCTCTGCTTCACACCTACGTATGCAAATTAACCGCCATCAAAGATATCCGCATATCTCGCCAATTAGCCAATGGGAGGCGTAGCAAAGATACGGTCAATTACCCTGTTTGTCTATTATTAGATTAGATAGAGCTAAAGGGATACTATTCTCTAGAAACCTCTAGGCGTTGCCCTTAGGTCCTCAGGAGCCAGTTGGTTAGCTGGCCTGCGGGTCCCTTGGTCCCTTGGTCCCTTGGTAGGAAAGGGAGTCCTTGCCCCCTGGAGCGTGACAGCCATGAGGCCCGAGTGATGTTAATAATGTCAGGATCCCATAGCAAGGACGTCAAAGGGATCCTGATGTTACCCTGAGAGAAGTCCTGGAGTAGAGGAGGGAGGTTCTAGTATAGTGAGATGCTAAATCAAAATCTACTTTCAAGTCTCACTGCAAAGTTCGGAGGTTTGTTTGCTTGTTTTATTCTCCAATAAACAAACAAAGTCACTTCTCTCAGTCCTTTCCCTTCCAGCTGAAACATCTCTACTGTGTCCCTTCTCAGGTTCATGGAGGTTTTTTGTTTGTTTGTTTTGTTTTTTACCAATTATTTAGTCAAGAAATAGTTGTTGAGCACTTATTATATGTAAAGCATAATGCTAGTGCCTAGGTGTACAGTCTAGAGGGGGGCACAAAAAACAGACAAATACACTCAAATACATGTAAGGACAAGTTGTGAAAAGTGCTAACTAGGAGAGAACAGGGTGAGAGATAGAACTAAGGAAGGTAGGAGTGGTGGTGGGTTTACTTAGACAGGAAGAACAGAGAAAGCAATTCATTCATTCCTTCATTCATGCATGCAATCAATCAATCAACAAATATTTATTTAGTATGTATTATGTGTCAAGATCTGTTCTAAACATTGGAGTACAAGAGCGTTTCTGTTCCCAGGAGTGTGTGTGTGTGTATGTGTGTGTATGTCTGTGTTAGTGCCTCCTTTTCCACTTTTTTGTGCTTTTCATTGGTGATTTTGTTATTTAAAGTGATCCTCAAGTGTGGTGCTGAAGTGCTGTATAGTGTTCCTAAACTCAAGAAGGTTGTGACGCCCTTCATGGAGGAAATCCATATATTAGATAAATATGGTTAAGGCATGAGTTACAGTGCTGTCTTCTGTGAGTGCAGTGCTAATGAGTCTATAATAATAAAAGCGTAATATGCTAATTTCTGGACAAAATCATGGTGTTGAAGGCTGAGGCAGAGGTGGCAGACGTGCCCCCACTCATGCCCTTCCTTGCGCCCCACCCCCTGGCCGCCACAGCAGGGGGCCAAGTCCCTTGCATGAATTTCATGCATCAGGCCTCTAGTGTGTGTGTATATATATATATATATATGAATATATATTAATGAATATATATTGACAATATATATTCAATAAAGTATCTTTAAAAGGAAACACACATAAAAAGGTTATATATTGTTTGGTTAATGGAAATGTTATGACCAGAGGCTCATAGGAATCTAACCCTGTATTTCCCCTAAGAGCAATGGCTCAGTTTTGCTACGTCAGTGTTCACAGCAACTGTACAGAACACCCATAAAACAGGGGAATCGACTGTACTTTAACTTCAGAATTATGGTAGGTACTGTGAAGGCAAGGGTACTAGACGAAAGAGGCCTTCAGGAAATGCCTCTTCCAGAGGTGGGACTAGAGTCTAGACCTGAATGATGAGGAGATAGGTGCATGGAGATCTGGGGAAAGAGCTATCCAGGCACAGGGAGCCAGAGCAAAGGCCTGAGGCAGGAACACACAGGGCAGGTTCTGAGCTAGGCAAGACTGGTGAGCCATGGATGGGGCAGAGGGTGAAGAGAAAAGACCAGAGAGGAAGGCAGAGCCAGGGCCACTACACGGACAAAGAAAAGCCTTGGGGGAGTTTAATCAAGAAGTAGACATGGCAGGTTGCCGGGTGCAGAAGGGACTGAAGGGGGTTGAGTGGAAACAGTGGCACCAGGTAGGAGCCAAGGAACTCATCTAAGTGAGGAAAGTGGAGGCTTGGACTAAGGAAGTAGATGTGGAGATAATGTGAAATGAACAAGTTTGAGATATATTTTAGAGGTGAAATTGACAGGAGTGGGGATGATTTAAAGGGGAGTAGGGGCGTGGGAAGGGAAAAGGGTCAAAAATGGCTCCGGCATTTAAGGGTGACACATTCATTAATTCAATACAGACTTGTTGGGCAATGGGCATAGTCTGCTCCAATGCCATTTACTGTTCGCTGACATCCCCCTACCATCTCCACCCGCTCTGCCACCCTGGCCCAAGCCACTGCCTTCTCCTTCCTGGATTGTTGCAATAGTTCCCTAAGCACTCCCTACTTCTGTCCTCACCCCTGCAGTTCTCAACAGAGTAGCCAGGTTAACCCAGTTGAGACATAAGTCAGATCACGTCACTGCTCTGCTTAAATACCACCAACAGTTGCTTATCCTGTATGATTAACAGCCCAAATCTTCACAACGGCCTACAGGCTCTTAGATCTTTCTTTCCACCCTTGCTCTCTCCTCTGTTTCCAAACATGAAGTGCATCATCTGAGTCAACTCTAAGAGAAAGTTTCAGCAACAACAAAAACAAAGGCTTGCTAGTAACTTAGCCTCTAAAAGTACAAACAACATTAGTTTGCCTGTCTAAGTTCTAGCTTCTTTGCTTAACAGTCAGCCTTTCTCCTTGAAATGGTGGAATCTTACTGGGAAGTACAGATAAATATTGTTTATGAGCCAGAGTTTTAAAAATATCATTCTAATAAAAGTAATAACTTGCAGACTTACCACACTTTATAATTATTACAGAAGGTCTCTCGATCATCATTCAATTTGGATTTTGAAGGGATGGGTTGGCCTGAGTCTATTTCTCAGATTAAAATTCTCTCTTTCACTCTTACTTTTCATTTTCTTTAACATCTTTCATTTTATATGTGAAATGACCCGATGTGATTTTAGTCCATGTACATGTTGATCAGTTGCTTCAATTTGTATGGTTTTCACTTGCTTACTGCGTATTAAAATATTGCACCTGCGATGGCTTCTAATTTGTTTCCACTTACCCAGGCTCTCCATATTTACAGGTTCAGCTTCTTCACTACCTGGAATATAACAAAATAATGTCAAATTTACATATTTGAATCAAATATATATATATATATATATATATCCTAGTTTATTACATATTTTAACCAGGTCTCAAAACACAAAACATAAATGCAAATATACGATGAAGTCTTAAACTATTTTATGAATAATTAAATAAACAGAATCTGAATAACTGTCTTCCTCACAGAATTATCTCTTCATGATATGTTTCCTATGGTGTTGAATGGTAATGAAATACATACAAAATGAGAATAAATGCCCATGTTTTGAATTCCATTTGTGTTTAGCTTTATGACAGCCAAAACCATGATAATTTTGGCTGCTAACTGTACAAATACTGAAGCCATAAAAATCCCATTAATGAAAAGACAATCCTACCAAGTGTTAGGTCCTTATTTTCACCATGTTTTCCTTTTTTCTTTTTGCCACGTGGAGTCTTTCCTCCTCGAGGTTTTGGAGCCATGGCTCTGACTCAGGCTGCACAAAGAGAGAATGCCATTAGATGTCTGGCTCACAGGTTCAAATAGCAAGCATTAGCATTTGGTAAACATGAGTATGTTTTCTAAGTTGAGCCTTTGGCTAACTCATCTTTATTTATTTTTAAAATATATTTTTATTGATTTCAGAGAGGAAGGGAGAGGGAGAGAGAGATAGAAACATCAATGATGAGAGAGAATCATTGATTGGCTGTCTCCTGCATGCCCACTACTAGGGATCGAGCCCACAAGCTGGTCATGTGCCCTTGATGGAAATCGAACCCGGGACCCTTCAGTACACAGGCCTACACTCTAGCCACTGAGCCAAACCGGCTAGGGCAACATGTATCTTTATAGAGTGGGTGTTCTGGGGGCAGAGGTTTATTGCAACAACAATCTTAGTCTACCAGCGGTTCTCGACCTGTGGGTCGCGATTCCTGAAAATGCATCCTGCATATCAGATATTTACATTATGATTCATAACAGTAGCAAAATTACAGTTATGAAGTAGCAACAAAAATAATTTTATGGGTGGGGGTCACCACAACATGAGGAACTGTATTAACGGGTCGCGGCATTAGGAAGGTTGAGAACCACTGGTAGACCTTGCCATTCTTGCGGAGCTATTCAGCTGAAACACAGGACGGTGACCTGCCAACTCCTCCAGGTTTCTGCCTCAGACCCTGCCATGGAAGCACCAGAGAGGACTCCGCTGCCCCGCCTCTGGCTGTGGTTCTGCACCCAGGGAGCTGCTCTGTGCTGCCCTGTGCCCGGCTCCCTGGCAGGTGCCCCAGCTACAAAGACAGGTTTAAAGTCCAGGGGCAGACACAGGCCCACAGTGTGCACATATGCACATAACCTTAAAATTATCATAGTGTAGATAGTACTTTTGTCCTAGCATACGTGCATGTAACCACTGTGTCCTTATTTGTGCTGTCAGAAAAGGCCTCCAAAAGTTTCTGGGGGGTTGCTCATCAATTTTGACAGGACATAGCTCTGGCCAAGGGCCTTGCCATGACACCAAACCCTTCTCATCTCCTCAATGCTCACCTTTGCCCCATCTTGTTCAGTGGCTAGGAGTGTGATTTCAAGAGTCTAACCAGAGGAGTATAAAACAGGCTCTACCTTTCATCAGCTGAGTGACCCTGGGCTAATTGTTGACCTTCTGAGTTTCAGCTGATTCATCAGTTTAACAGAGATAATAAAACCTAACGCACAAGGTGGTTGTGAAGATGAAATAAAGTCGCATCATCATCAACTCAGTCATCTTACACTGTTTACTGTTTGTCTCATTTTAATAAACCAACACAGATTGAATATTATTTCATAGTGTGGGGAAGGAGGAAATGTTCCTCTACCCTCGGTTGACCTAATAATCAAATAGATTTGAGACAGATTAACTAGGGAAGATAACCCAAATTTAACACATATATATGGATGGGAACCCTGCATATATGAGAGTCAGAGACTCCAAATGCACCGAGGTTCAGAGACAGAAAGAGGAACTGAGGTATGACTTTGTGAGCTTGGGAGGAGGTAATGCACCGTGGGCCTTCCAAGGGGCATTTCAGGAGAGCACGTGTACAGTAATTATTAGTGTGCCTGCCATACACACAGGTAAGGTAAAATGTCATTTCTGGTATTAATTCTTATTGTGGGCCAGGCTCCTAATTTAATTCTCCTAGATAGGGCAGGGAGCATGAGTTTCTCTCGAGCCTGCAGGGTTCTAGTTGCCTTTAGCTCAAAACAATCCACATACCACTAAGACTGACATAGGGGTACCTTGTCTGCACCCCAGCAATTGCCCATAGTCAAAACATCATTTTTATTTTATGCTCAATATCTTGATGACTAAATCTTGACTAAAGTGTGGGTATGTGTCTAAGTGTTTGAGCATACACACTTTTTTCTTCAACATGTTCACATATATTTTTTCAAATGATAATAATGACAGCTCATGTTTGGTGAGTGATATATGCCAGGCATGATTCTAAGTAATTTACATGTACTATTTATTTTTATTTTAACCAACCTTTTAGGTAGGCATTTTATTTTATTGATTGATTTTAGAGAAAGGAAGAAGAGAGAGAGGGAGAGAGGGAGGAAGGGAGGGAGGGAGGGGAAGAGAGAGAGAAATTTGTTGTTCCATGTATTTATGCACTCATTGGTTGCTTCTTGTACATGCACTGACTGGGGATCAAACCCAAAACCTTGGCATGTCTAACCACCGACTGAGCTACCCCACCAGGCCCTAGGTAGGCATTTTATTCATGCTATTATCTTCATCTCCATTTTATGATGTGAAAACAGAGGCCCCAAGAAGTCAGGTTACTTGCCTGAAGGGACATATAAGCCATGAGCCATGGAGGCAGAGGGTGAGCCCCAGTGGCCTGGCTCCAAGTTCTGCACTCCTGACCTTTGTTCAAACTATTTCAGCGGTAACTACTGTGTTTCATTACAAATCGAGCTATTTAAAGTAATTGTCTTTACCTAGAAAGTTGTGATTTAACATTTTAATTAGTATTTTATGTTTCTGACAATTTAGGAATTTCTACTTTTTTTGTACTTTATTTTATATTATTTTTTCACATGAAATAAACATTCATATTTCAAGAAAAATGATTTTAAGTATAATAATGTTACATGCAATAAACATTAATATTTCAAGAATTTCAACTTTTTAAATATTCTGCAATGGGTGGCTCTGACCCAACACTTCAGCTTGTCAAGTGTCTCCCACTTTCCAGCCTTAGCATAATTTCAAATCTTGGACCTAGTCCTTTTTTCAAAATATTTTCTGAAACTGTATTCCTGTCCGTATTCTAGTCCTGCTGCATTTGACTTAAAATATTCAAGAGTACCACCTGGACCCCCCTCCACCCCCCCCCCTCCACACACATGCATAAACACACCATCACCATCACCATCACTACCACTATTCATTCTAGAAATACTTATTTGAGCAACTATGAAATACCAGATGCAGGTGTTAGGAATAAGCAGTGAACGAAAGAGGCAAACCATTGCCCTGATAGAGCTCACATGTTAGGGGGGAGATAGGCAGCAAGCAAATAAAGGAGCAAAATAATGAATACTTTACATAGTGATAACTATTAAAGAGAAAAATCAAGTAGGAAGGGGAAACGGATTGTAGGCGTGCAGATGTTGTAATTTTTTTATTAGACAATCAGGGAAAGCCTCATTAATAGACATTGGAGCAAAGACCTAAGAAAAGGAGGAAGCAAAAACTATAGATAGCGGGGGGAAGAAGGATGTTTCCAGGTAGAGGGAACAATAAGTGTAAAGGTTTTGGGGCAGGAGTATGACTGGCACATTTAAGAAAACAGCAAGAAGGTCATGATGGCTGGAGCAGAGTGAGTGAGGGGAAGACGGGGAGATGAAGTTGGTCAGAGAGAGATGGGGATATATATTAGTCAGCTTTGCTGCAGTAACAAATGTTCCCCAAGTCTCAGCAACATGCACCAGCAAACATTTATTTCTTCTCATGTTCTGTCTGTGGCTGAGAGTGAGTTGCTGCTTCAAGTCTTATTCTGGGACTCAGGCTGAAGGAGCAGTCCCGATTTGGTACATGCTCCTTTCATGGCAGAAGAAAAAGCGAGAGGGCTGGTAGAACCACGTAATGCCTTCTAATTCTTCTCCTTGGCACCGGCACGCTGTCCTTTCTGCTCACATTCCACTGGCCCAAGCCAGCCACACAGCCAATCCTGATAATAGGGAAGGAATATAGGCTTGCATGGCAATGGATGGGATTATATGATCCTCTTACAGAGAAAGGAGGTAATAGTATTATATAACAATTATGTAACACTAGAGGCCCAGTGCACGGAATTTGTGCACTTGGGGGTGGGGGTGGGGGGTCCTTCAGCCCAGCCTGTGCCTTCTTGCAGTGTGGGATCCCTTGGAGGATGTCCTGTGGGGAGCAGGCCTAAGCTAGTCAGACATCCTTAGTGCTACCATGGAGGTAGGAGAGGATCCTACCACCGCCACTGCACTCATCAGCTGTACGGGAGTGCACTGACCACCAGAGGGCAGCTCCTGCATTGAGTGTCTACCTCCTGGTGGTTGGTGCGTGTCATAGCAACTGGTCATTCCACTGTGCAGTCAATTTGCATATTAGCCTTTTATTATATAGGACTAGAGGCCCGGTGCACAAAAATTTGTGCACTCGGGGGGGAGGGAGGGTCCCTCAGCCCGGCCTGTGCCCTCTCGCAGTCTGGGACCCCTCGGGAGTTAATGACTTGCTGGCTTAGGCCTGCTCCAGGGTGGCAGAGAGCAGGCCCAATCCCTAGGTGCAGCCCCTGGTTGGGCTCAGAGCAGGGCCGATTGGGGAGTTGGGGCACTGCCCCCTGTCATGCACAGAGCAGGGCGGATTGGGAGGTTGCGATGCCACCCTCAGTCATGCTCAGGGTAGGGCCGATTGGGGGTTTGGGGCCCCGCCCCCTGTCACACTCAAGGCAGGGTTGATGGGGAGGTTGTGGCGCCACTCCCTGTCACGCACAGAGCAGGGCCCATCAGGGGGTTGGGGAGCTCCCCCCTGTCACACACAGAGCAGGACCGATCAGGGGGTTTGGGCGCTGCCCCTGTCACGCTGAACCCAGTGCCAGGAGGCCTCTCGGCTCCGCTGATCCCGGTGCTGGGAGGCATATTACCCTTTTACTATATAGCATAGAGGCCTGGTGCATGGGTGGTGGCCGGCTGATTTGCCCTGAAGGGTGTCCTGGATCAGGGTGGGGGTCCCCACTGGGGTGCCTGGCCAGTCTGGGTGAGGGGATGATGGCTGTTTGCAGCTGGGAACACACCCTTCAGGGTGGGGGTCCCCCCTGGGGTGCTTGGCCCGCCTGGGGGAGGGGCTGAGGGCAGTTTTCAGGCTGGTGGGTGACTGAAGCTCCCAACTGCTCCTTTTTTTCTTTTTTCTTTTTTTAATTCTGGGCCAGCTTTAGCTGTGGCTCCAGCTCTGCGGCCTCTGCTGTTGGGAAC